CAATCTCTTCCCCATCCATCCTGATGCTACCGATTGGTCCAGTGGTGAGAATTTTTGTCTTCTTGACATTGAGCCTCAGTCCATATTGAAGGCTGCAGTCCTTGACCCTCTGCAGTAAGTGCATGAGGTCCTCCTCAGTTTCAGCGAGCAAGGTTGCGAAAAACTAGAAAACAAAATTTCCTTATTTTGGGCAAAGTACTCTGATACTTCAGCAGGCTTAGCTCAGCTCGGCTCCCCGTAACAGAATCAGCAATAGAAAAACAATTAACTGCTTTGTGATTCCAAAGGCATTAAGACTGGCTATTATTTCATTCTCTATATCTATCTGCACAGATTTAGACACGGAAAAAGCCAAGTTCAAATGTAAACTGGTAAGAAAGATGTAGCAATAATATTTTGACAATCCACAGCAAGAGACTGCTGGCTCCTCGGCAGGCCTGAGAATCTTGGTTCTGTCTAAATAATTTTTTATTTATGCAGAATTTGCAACAACCATACAGAGCATTCATGTTCATTCTTTGAATGCTAATAACATACAAAATCATGCTATAAATATGATCATCAGTGGGCTTAAGTATGATGGCGATTAGGACAATGGTGCAGGACAGGACAAGAGTCAGATCTGCTCTTTGTAGCGCTGAAGTGAGTGGTACTCAAATCAATGCCTCCTAGCAGCAGGGAGTTAAGGAAATTCTTGACCGCATATGCTTATGGAAAATGACTTCTCATATCATATTACTTTTCTCATTCTTCTTCATAAGCTCCCTGTGTCCTTCACAGCCTCTGAAAATCCACTTGGAGGGGCAGCTGTGAGTCACCTTTTTCTCTTCTGAAACAATCAATTGTTCTTATTGGAAAATTAATTCAAATACTAAAATTTTTTAGCCTCTGGAAGTGTTCCAAGGTCAAACTGTTCACAATGGCAATCCTTCCACAGCTCCAATACGTATTTACTTAATTATGCAAAAATTACTAATGTGGCATCTACTTTCAATACATACAGAACTTTGCTGCATGTCAGAATTTCCCTGGGACTACGTCTTTTCATTTTTCTGCAAGGCTACCTGAGTCAGTTGTTTTTGAGGATCCAAGATGATGGTTTAAACATTGTATTCCACCTAACTGGGGTGGCCTAGCGGTGAGAAACTGTACTGCAGTCCCAAAAGCACGGGGTTCGAATCCACCAGCTGCTCCATGGGAAAAGGGTGCACAATCTCCTCCCATGTGATTTGCTGTCTTTGAAAACCCGCTGGAGGGTCAGCTATGAGTTGGTCCCGACTTGATGGTACACAACCATCACCACCACCTTTGGTGAGAGGAGCAAATTTTGAAAAGCAAAAAGTTTTTGTATGTTCCAATTTCTATTCAGATACTATTTTTGTATGTTAGCTTACAACGTACATAATGTCATCCTTTCGGATTTAGAAATGAAGCATTTCATGTTCACAAATGAAAACATTACTTTCCCTCTCTCATCATTGTAAAGATTAAAAATTTTAAGATAGGGAAAATTGTATTTATCACAGTTTGAACATCTCCTATTAATCATCAAGGGTTTTATAATTGCCCGGGTGTCCTACTGGGTAGAGCATTACAGTGCTCAAATCCACCAGCTGCTCCATGGGAGGTGGGTGGGAAATCTCCTCCCAACCAATTTACAGCCTCTGAAAGTCCACTGGAGGGTCGGCTAGGCATTGGTTCTGACTCCCCTGCAACACATTTTTGAGATTTTTTCCCATTGATTTGAGTAAAACTTGAGTTTTCACCTATTTCTATTAATTGTTACTTATTTAATGTTAAAAATGTTTGTTTTACAACAATATTTTGTTTTATAACATTAAAGACAACATCTGCAAAGTAATCACTCCCCTCCCATGACCTCCCTGTGATTTCTGTTTCCCACTTGAAATCTCCCTATGTTCACAATTAAGGAACATTCTGGTTGCATTTTTTTTAGACACAGACTTGTTTGTTCTTTTGGCACTTCAGGGTATCTTTAACATGTTCGCCAAAACTACCTCAACAGTACATACACATTAAATGGATTCTTTTAAAATTTCCTTTCATGCTGTTTTAAATGTCCTCTATATCTCTGGTAGTTCAGTGGGCAAGGAATTGCCCTGTCTAATTAAAGGCCAGAGGTTCAAATCCACCAGCTGCTTTGATGGAGAAAGATGGATAATCTCTGTCAGAGCAATATATAACCTCTAAAAACCCACCGGAGGGTCAGCTATGAGTTGGTTCGGATTCAACGACACATAACAACCACATCAGCATGCTATATATAATGCTTTGTTTTGGTCAGTTTGTGATTCCCTTTCTTAATGTTTACATCCCTTTTCTTGTTATTGTCTATTGGGGAGAGGGAACCAACTCACAGCTGACCCTCTAACCATTTTCAGAGGCAATGAATTGCAGTTAATGAGAGGAGATGGCCCATTTTTCTCCTTCGGGATAGGTAAACACATACCTTTGGGATTGCAGTGTAGTTTCTTAAGACTAGACCACCAAGCTGTCTCTAACACTTTGCAATTATTTGCTGCAAAGACCCGTCTGCAGATTAAGTTGTACATTAGATTTTGTTCCACATTGTTAGTCTATTTCTAGACTAACTTCCTTCCATGCATTCCGTAACACTTATTCTGCTTTATGTATAAAACACTCTTCTTGTGTCCTCAGCCAACAATAACTAAAAGCTATGTCCTTGAATTTTGCTATAGTTTCTCATCTTTACCATTAAGCCTGTTGGTTGAATTCCACATGGAGAATAAGCATACACTACGTTATTGAAATGCCCTGCCCAGCTAAGACCCTTGATGTCCATAATGCAGACATAAATGTTCAGTAAAGATAATTATTTCTAGCATATGGAAGGTTTCTTTTTATTTTTCTAAAGCAATAGGTATTTTTGTCATTTAAAAAAAATATGCTTGTTAGTGTCTGTGTCTTTAGAGGACATGGAGAAATGTTTGAGTGCTTTTGAATATGCAGAAATAATCAGAAAGTCTTTTTCCTGGAATTTTAAAGAGCTCTTCTTCCGGCACTTCAATGTCGTGCCTGTTCGCCGCATTGCTCTCCAGTCGTTAGCTGTAACTTCCTCCCTCTCAAGGCTCATTACAGCTAAATAATATTATCGATTCTAAAGCACGAGAGATGGATTTTAATTCATCAAGGTTCAAAATAGAGACCATGTTTATGAAATTAGTACTCTGTAACATGTGATGCCTTTGAGCTGTGGTGCTGAAGAAAAGTATTGAAGGTACCCTGGACTGCCAAGAAAACAAACAGATTCATCGTAGAGAGGGTTAAACCAGGCTGCTCCTTGGAGGCAAGGATTCTGGGGCTTCATCTGACATACTTTGGGCATGTTGCAAGGAGGTCCTTGGAGAGGGACATCATGCTGGGTAGAGTAGAGGGACAGCGCAGGAGGGGAAGACCCACTATGAAGTGGATTGATTCAGTGACTGGGGTAATCAGGATGGGTGTGTCAGGGGCAGTGCGATTGGCACAGGACAGAGCAGGGTTTAGGGCTGTTGTACATAGGGTCGCTATGAGTCGCAAATGACTTGACGGCACATAACAACAACAACAACAAATTAAGAGACTGAGTTTATCAGTAGGGGCTTCATGGGAAAGCGTCAACTCTGCCAAATGAAATAAACTTTGATTCATTTGTTTTGTCCCTCCCTCAACTCACTCATTGCTGTCAACTCAGAAGTGACTCACAGCTGCCCCTCCAAGTGGATTTTCAGAGGCTGTGAAGGACACAGGGAGAGACTGCCCTTCTTCCAATCAGAGTCACAGGTGAATTTGACCTTCCAGAGAGATGCCACCTTCCGGTCAGCAGGACAACTCCCTATGAACTGTGCCAAATATATTTTGTAGTATTAAAAAAAAAAGGCAAGCAAAAATTAGTACAGGCATCTCTTTCTGTTTTTATGAGCCATAAACTTTGCACTGATGCTGCAAATAGATGAGTTTGCAGCACGAGTGACCTTCAGATAAATGGCGTGATGATACTTTAGTTTTCAATTCATTGAACGCTTGGGGTAAGATGAAAGCATTAACAAAAGGTCAAGAATTTGCTAACGTGAAATAAAAAAAAACTAGCCAAAATTTAAAACAAACGAACAAACTACTGCCATCTTTTTGCTGTAGTTGCAGCAAAATAATAAAAAAGTGATTGTTTTCTAGTTACACACAAATAACAAAATTCCTGTTCTTCAGAACACTGAATTGCATCCAAGCTTATCTAAAATGAGAATGGAACGAAAACCTCCTTAGGTAACTCAAATATTGGCAAAGATGATAATGTGTCCCCATTTGTTCAGGGCAAATTCCATTTGAATACTGTAATTTTGACATTAAAAAGCTATTTGCTGAAGGTATTCAATGGCAACGCGAATATTTAAGAACCCACTCCAACACTTCATTTTCATCACCATTTAAAATCTTTCACATATGTGAATGCCCTTGAGGCCTGATGATGAATAAATAGTCAACGAGGATGCGTGAGCATATCTTGTCCTTAAAGATGAGGAACTACGGTGAGCTCTGGTGGCCCAGGGGCAAGAAGCTGCCCTGCAATCCCAGAGGTGCATGGTTCGAATCCACCAGATGCTCTGCTGGAGAAGGAGGAACAATCTCCTTCTATACCAGTCAGATCCGATTTGGTGGTACACACACACAGAAAAAGAATAAAATAAAAATTAAAATGTAAAAAAAAAAGAAATTTGAAGAAGAAAAAAATGAGGAACTACGATTACTTAGTCATGTGCATGAAGATCTAAAGAGGAATAGGAGTAAACATGGACTATCTTCTGTTGTATTTTTATTTGCAAGTTGTAACAGTTAAGTATTAGTGCATTGTCTTATGCCAAATTATTTAGATGCCTTTACAATAATCATTATGATTTAAGTTGAACTTTGAAAGTGAACGGAGTTCTCGGGGGAAATACACACATTGTTTATTATAAAAACATGCTGCCCACCCGCCCAAGATGCTGAAGGGAAAGAAGGCCAAGGGGAAGAAGGTGGCCCCGGCGCCCGCCGTGGTCAAGAAGCAGGAGGCCAAGAAGGTGGTGAATCCCCTGTTTGAGAAAAGATCCAAAAACTTTGGCATCGGGCAGGACATCCAACCCAACAGGGACCTTACCCGCTTCGTCAAATGGCCCCGCTACATCCAACTACAGCGGCAGAGGGCAATTCTCTACAAACGACTCCAAGTGCCACCTGCCATTAACGAGGTCCCCCAGGCCTGGGCCCGCCAGACGGCTCCTCAGCTGCTGAAACTGGCTCACAGGTGCCGACCAGAGACCAAGAAGGAGAAGCAGCAGAGGCTGCTGGCCCAGGCTGAGAAGAAGGCTGCTGGCAAAGGAGACGCCCCCACCAAGAGACACCGCCCCCCCCCGTCCTCCATGCAGGGGTGAATACAATCACCACCCTGGTGGAGGACAAGAAGGCCCAGCTGGTGGTGATCGCACACGACGTGGACCCCATAGAGCTGGTGGTCTTCCTAAAAGCCTTGTGTCATAAGATATGTGTTGCCTACTGTACCATCAAGGGCAAGGCCAGGCTGGACCACCTTGTCCACCAGAACACCTGCACCACTGTTGCCTTCATGCAGGTGAACCCGGAAGATATAGGCGCTCAGGCGAAGCTGGTAGAAGGCATCAGAACCAATTACAACGACAGATATGATGAGATCCACCGCCACTGGGGAGGCAACGTCCTGGGGCCCAAGTCAGTGGCCCACATCACCAAGCTGGAGAAGGCCAAGGCCAAAGAACTCGCCACCAAACTGGGCTGATGTACACACCGACTCTTCTGTACATAAGGACAAACTTACTCCTCCCTAAAAACAAACAAGCAAACAAACAAACAACTCATGCAAAGAGCATCTGAGTTGGAGGAAGCATGGAGGTGAGGGTGGAGCGATTTTCCCCTTGCTTCGTTTTGGGTGCTGTAGAACCCACTAGAACTCTCAGTGTCCCGAGCAGAGGCAGGTCTGAATCTTGTCTTACCCGGCACCATTGTCAGGTTCTCGGTCATGCTCAAGTCCATTCGTGGTACTCACTATGGCAATCTATCCATTTGAGGGTCTTCCCTTTTCTGACTCTCCAGCCATTCCCAGCATGATGTCCTTCTCCAAGGATCGGCCTATTCTGATAACACGCCCAAGCTATATTAGATGAAGTGTCACTATCCTTGTGTCTAAGGAGCTCTCTGCTTGCATTCCTTAGAAGACAGACCTGTTTGTAGTTTTGGCAGTTCATAGGATACTCTTCTATGGCATCAATTCTTCTTCTGTCTTCATTATACATTGTCCAATTTTTACATGCATCAGAAGCTAATTGAAAAATACCATAGCTTGCATTGTTGTTATGTGCCATCAAGTTGCCTGGGACTCACAGCAACCCTATGTACAATAGCTCTGAACCCTGCTCTGTCCTGAGCCAACTTTACTGCCTTTGACACATCTACCCTCATTAACCCAGTCCCTGAGTCAAATCTTTCTCATCCAGTGTCTTCCTCTTTTGTGCTGTCCCTCCAAACTCCCAAGCATGATGTTCCTATCCAAGGACTGGTCACTCCTTACAACATATCCAAAGTATGTCAGAACTTCAGAATCCTTGCCTCCAAGGAGCACCCTCTCCAGGATGAACCGGTTTGTTCTCTTAGCTGTCCATGATATATTCAATACTCTTCTCCAGCGCCACAGTTCAAAGGCATCAATTCTCTTTCTTATCCTTAGTCATTGTCAAGCCTTCTGATGCATAGCAAGACAGTGCAAAGACCTGGCATGAATTAAGCACACCTTAGTCTCTAGACTGACATCCTGTACCCTATTCTGGAGGATGTTGCTTGAGATTCTCTTATTTACCGGTGCATTACCAAAATGGGGAACATATGTTTCTGTGTGTATGTATATGTTTTCTATCTGACTTCACTCTTCATTTTTTTGGTTTGTTTTTTTCTCAAATGCTCACTCTCTGGAGTGATAATGGATACAGCATAACACTGCCTTCCTGACAGAGCTGGTAGACTCATTTTGAGAATCAATTTAGTGTAAGCAAAGAAGTATTCCTCTTTTGGACATAAAAAAATTAAATTAGGCAATCTCAACTCTTATCATCAGTTAAGAATTATGAGGGAGGGCTAGGAATGAATGTGCAGTCATGAATACAGAAATAAAGACTGTTGAGTATCTAGAGAGAGAGAAAATAAAGGCAATGTTCACAAGAGGACAAGAACAAAAGATAGACAGAAGATTACTGTTCTATATAATTTCAATTACTTTCTAGAATTATTCAATTAGGTGGCCTGATGGTTAGAAATTGTGTTGTCCACGGAATGCATTTGGTTTGAATCTGCCATCTGCTCTGTAGGAGAAAGATGGACAATCAACTCGCATGTGATTCACTGCCTCTGAAAAACCACTGGAGGTTAAACAATGAGTTGGTCTTGACTCAGCACTACACGATAATACATTACTATGAAATCTGGTGCCAAGGTGGGCAAGGAGGTGCACTGCCAACCCAAGTGGCTCAAATCCACCAGACACTTTGCAAGAGAGACACTCTTCGAAAACCTGCTTGAGGGTCAGCTATCAGTTGGTTTTGACTTGAAGGCACATAACAAAAAACACATGGTTATTTCTTACAATCAGTGGCAATGACCTACCATCTTTTGCTCCATAAAGTTCAAGTGAAATTATAAGATCATGAATGAGTTGGAACTTTTACAATGTCCTGCTATCTATTTGAACGAACCTTCTACCTGGGAAGCATATACTGTGATCAGGGGAAGAGAAAATTGAGCAAAGAGAAGTGTAAACTGAGTATGGAGTCTGTGTCGCTCACACCTGTAGCCTCTCGTTTTGGAATTCTTCCTTATACAGGGTGTTTCTCTCCTTCCTGCTATCCTCTTTTTCTCTGAGAAAAAAGGAACCCATCCTTAGAGATATCTGTATCCAACTATACGTCTATACAGAGATAGGAAAAGAGAGATAGATTGATAGACAATAGATAGAGATAGATAGAGAGAGAGAGATAGATAGATAGATATAAAAAGGAGCCCACAGTCTTTCTGTAATCTCTGGGGAAATGGGCCCTTTTTTTGAATATAATTTTGAGAGAATGTAGATATGGAAATATTATGGAAATTGTGTTGAAATGAAGTTGAATATTTATTAATAATTTAATCCCACTCAACTCTGTAAGAGTGCTTCATAACCACTATGACAGTCTTTAAGAAAGGATAATAATACATCAAGATTAAAAATTCAAGTGAGAATAGTCTCACTTGAGAGAAACCTAAATGAAAAGAGAATGGCTCTTCAATCTAGTTAAGGGAACTGACATTCACAGAGCTGATTGTGAACACCTGTCTAATGGAGGGTGTGTTCTAATATTTTTCATGTATTCATATTTTCAACATAAATATATGAGAAATCGAGAGGGAAGGTCACAAGCTTCTAAACACTATTTTAGTACTCTGCTTAGTTAATTTTTTTTTTTTTACTTTCAGTTTTAGTTTAGGCTTTCCACTTTAGCCAGTAGTTGTTGTCATTATGTGCCATCAAGCTGCCTGTGATTCATCATGACCCTTTATGTACCATAGCTCTGAGCTCTGCCCTACCCTAAGCCAGGCTGACTCTGACACACCTAATCCCACTGCCTCAATTATTGTGACAATTAATAATTAGTTATGAAAACAAACAAGATTTTTACCTGAGTCTCAAACACCTGGAATTTCCAAAGAGACATCCTTTTAATAAAGCATTTTTATTTAATATCTAAAAGTGTGTCCACACTCACGTTAATAGTTTTTTCACTGAAGTAACATCCATCCATCTACTCATCCATCTATCCATCATCTCTCTCTCTCTCTCTGTCCATCATCTATCTCTTCTAGTAGAGTGAACACAAAGTGGACACGTCCATGTTACAAGCACCCAGATGAAGAATAAAGCATTACCCAGAGTTCTATGAGCTTCCGTGAACTTTTCCCCCAGTCAGCTCTCCAAATAGAATTGTTTTCATAAACCAAAGAGGAGGAGGAGTTGTTGTTGCTGTTAGGTGCTGTTGAGTCGAATACAACTCAAAGCAATCCTATCACCAACAGATCTGAGCCCTGTCCTTTCGTGGGCCATCCTCCCCTCTGATACACTTGATCCCTTTGTTGCAATAACTATGTCAGTCTGTCTTGTTAAGGATCTTCCTCTCTTTCGCTGACCTTCCACCTTTCCAAGCGTGATATCCCTATCCGAGGAACAGCCTCTCCCACAAACACGTCCAAAGTAGGAGAGGTAAAGTTTTTCCATCCTTGTCTTGAAAGAGAACTCCAGCTGTACTTTATTTCAAGACATGCCTGTTTGTTCATTTGGCAGTCCAGGGGATATTCAGAATTTTTCTCTTACACCACAATTCAAAGGCATCAATTATTCTGTCATCTTTATTCATTGTTCCCTTAACAGAGGCACAGAAAGTGATTGAAAAGACCATGGCCTGAATCAGGCAGACCTTAGTCTTCAAAGTGACATTCTTGCTTTTAGTATTTTGGAGAGGTTCCTGACAGTGGCCTTATCAGTAGTAAGTCTCCTCATCTCCTGACTGCTGGTACCAAGGATGTTGATTGTGGATCCAAGCAAGATGAAATCATTGACAGTTTCAATCCTTTCTCCATCTATCATGATGCTGCCTATTGGGCCAGTGGTAAGGACCTCTTTAATTTGCTGATGCTGAGATGTAATCCATATTGGGACCATATTGGGAACTAAAATCTTTCATCTTCTGCAGCAAATGCTTCAGGTACTTTAAGCAAGCAAGGTTGTGTTACCTGCACAACATAGGTTGTTGATGAGTCTTCCTCTGATCCTGATGCTACATTCTTCTTCATAGAGTCCTGGTTCCTGAATAATTTACTCAGCATATAAGCTGAATAGGTATAGAGAAAGGATACAATCTTGACCCTCATCCTTCTTAATTTTAAACCATGCAGCCCTCCCTTACAGGTCATTGAAGGGAACTGCCAGCAGTTAAAGGTGGGTTTAGAAGAAGACACTGTAGTCTGAATGTTTTACATCCTCCACAGAATCAGAATCATACATTATGTACTTACCGGTTTTCTTTTGCTTGACATTGTGTTTTGAAGTTAGCCTACCTTGTCACTTGGCTGTTGGTCATTGTTTGCTTCTGATATCCACTCATTTATCTCTGTTAGCAACTGAAGCGCATTTAGGTTTATACCTCTGTTAAGCTGGTCCTCAGGTTTCATTTCTACTGGTATGAAAAGAGAACTTCATTATTGATTTGGTAAACATCCCTTGTGCTGGCTTTCTTCCCACGTGTTGGACTTATGCACTTTGGGGTTCTTTTGGTGGTACTGTTGGTAGGGAGTTGCACTATAAAACTAAAGGTGGTGCCTTCTCTGATGGCTCCGGTCTACCAGCCGCTCCAAGGAAGGAGAATTAACACTCCTCTTACAAGATTGACAGCCTCCAGAAAACACTGGATCGTCTCTGAGTGAGTTCCCACTTGACAGCAAGGGATTTGAGCTCTTGAGTTCAGGTTATTTGAAGGCAGCTTTCCGAACTTCTTCATCTTCTCTGAGGATGGAATGGCTGTGACAGTCCTTTCCATGGCCCCTCCGGACTCCAAGCAAAGCCACCTTTTCCCTAAGGTGTGTCAGTTCTGCTCCTCAACTGAAGAACTGAAGGTTTTGAACTCACAAACCATATGCCTTCCTATTTCTGTGTAGGGTGAACTATGGTTGCTAAAATCTACCTTTTTTTTTTTTGGCTATGTC